TATGAGGAGAGAAGTTTAGACGTTCTCTTTAGTTGTTATATTCATTGGAACTAAAATTATATTGTCTTAGGGTGGCTTGTAGAACTAGGCTTTATTCTAGCTATCATTAAGCCTAGTAGGAATTGTTTCGTAGTGGTTGAAAAGTCTAGCAAGTGTGTGTTTCTTTTTTATATATGTCTGCATCATCTTTTGTAATCGCAGTACAAAAAATGCAAAGCTTTGTGACAATCTTTCTGTTAATTAGTTTCTCAAATCATATCATACATTATGCTCAAATCATACAAAACAGAGAGAAATGATAATTTAGTTTCTGCAGTGAATTTGTAAAAAAATGATTCCACAAGAGAGAAAAAAATCAACTAGCTTTAATACTTGGTGTTACGAATGTAATTTTGAAAGAAAACATTAATAAGTAAAAACATCATATGTTCTATGAATGATAATAAAGCTTTTAAGATGCTCCACCATAACTCTCTCCGGATTCAAAAAATTCTTCATTGTCTTTGGCATCCATAGATGTAGTTTTCATATTAATGCACGTGGAAGACTTGATAGCAAAAATACCTTTTAATAAATCAGATCTGCACATACAAATTACAAAAACCATCATAAAAGAATTGGTAAAACCAAAAAATTTTTTTGATCCTTATTAAAATACTCGTCATCATCATGATAATTAACTATTTAGGAATTCAATTGACTATGTAACCTAGACCAAAAAGGGACACAAAAAGCTAACCTAACAATCTTATTAACACTCATACGCCTTAGAATTGACTTTTTGGCCTATGATATCCAATTAATAAAACTTTTCAATTCAGAAAATTAATTAGTAATTAGATGCAGAAAACAAGTTACAGATTGTGATTAAAATAAGTTATAGATTATTGGTCGTATGGCGCAGGGAAAGAGGAGCAGATTTCAGCCTTGCAAAAAACAAGTTATCATATGTATCAATAATCGAAAACCTAAAAAAAAAGAAACGGCAACGGCAGTTAACTTATTTTTTTTTGGTTAATGATTTTATTTCCTTAAATTATTTTATCTTCTTAATTTATT